AAAAAATCAAGAAAAAAAAATCAGCACAATCAAGGAAAATCGGCGTACGCTTGAATTCACAGTGAAGTACCCCTCGGGCAAAGCCCCCCGTTGTGGAGGTTAATGTATCCATCTGGGGGCTGGCGGCAGGGACGGGGGACGGAGCAGTGGACAAATGAACTGGTCCGGCAGACTGGCTTCTGCCTGCCCGGCTGGAGGTTAATGTATCCATCTGGAGACGGCCGGTCCGGGGGATCGGACAAGGGCCGAGGGCCGCAACGGACAAATGAATTGGGACCCGCCCCGACCGGACCGGACCGGCCCTAGGACACCCCGAGGAGGACGTCGAGTCTATTGCTCTGTCGAGAACCGTCACCGTCCGTGCGGCGGCTTCCATTGTCGGATGGATCCTTTGAGAGACGGCCGTATAGGCACACTCTTTCAACCCTGTACTGTTCTTTTAGCAAATACATACGCATTTTCTCAGTAGGATTACTGAATAATTTGTTACTTTATATTATGTATATGTTTATGTAGCCTGCTGATAAAAGAAAAAATGTCAGTATTGTAAAAAGGAATTATTTCGTACTACGGAAGAAATTTTTCGTCAAGTATTCGTGCGATGAAGAGTGATTTGTTTTGTGTTTTATTTTAAATCACATTTAATAAGATCTTTCGCGTTCAGCATGGCAAGGTCGGAACTCACCTTTCTGCTCGACGGTAATCTTTTGCCACTCTTAAAAAGACACAGTGTATATGGTAGCTCCGCCTTTCATCAGCCATATAATTATTTGGTTTTACGGTGTGCCGGGTTTCGTTGGAATTAGCACAGCAGCAATAGTACGCGGAGCAGGACAGGTGGACTGTAAAGAGAAAAGGGGGAGGGGGTTGGCGCAGCTAATCCCCCGCGCGAGTCTTCATCCGCCATTCTCTCTCCTTTTTTTTACCCCCCTTTCGACCTTTTTTCTTTCCATTATTTTACTCTCCGCCCTCACCCGCCGCTCGCTTTGCTCTCTATTACCTTAAGCGGCCGGGTCGGTGGGGGGAGGGGGGGGGGCTTCTTTCCTTAGCTCGCTGAGTGACAGGTCTGCAGTGTGCAGCGTAGTGGCGCAAACTCGAACCCCGTCAAAGTTTTTTTTCTTTCATTTTTTTTTTCGAGTAAAAAAACGTTTGCGCTCTCTCTATGCTCGACAGCAGTGCTCTACACGGAGGGTGCTGCGTGCGTACCACACCTCAGCAGGTGAGCCCACCACCCTCTCCCTCCCGCCCCACGACCTCGCGCCGCGCCAAATGACGCGGTTTACATGCAGAGCCCCACTCCCTGCGCAGGGACTGCAGTGGGCGAGATTAGTTTAAAGGGAGCCGCGGCGGCCGGGACACACAACCTCTCCCCCGCGCGAATAAGGGACTGCTCATTTTTGCCGCCGCGGCCGGCTTCCACTAAATTTTTGCATTCCGGACGCGTGGGGCGGGTGGGGGGAGTGTGGGCGCCGCGCCGCGGCCGGCCATTCCGCGGCCAGCGCGCGTACACCGACCTGGCGCCCCACGTGTTCATTATAAAGAGCAAACTGGACGCGGCGAGGGCGCCAAATTTTTAATCAGGGGAGGCGGAGGAGGGGAGGGGGGGAGGTGGTGTCCCCGTCCCGCGCGCTAAATCTAGTCCAGCCCCTCTTCTCACGAGGGTGCAGTAATGTTGTGTTATCGTCCCTCTACCGGTATTTTTATTTTTCTCGCGCCGTGTCTAAATAATAAGAATATTTTTGGTAGAGGGTCGGACTGCGGGGCGTCGGGGGACTTCAGGGCTCCGTCCGTCTGCTTTTGTTTGACTATCAGCTGATACCTATTGTCGCTGCTATTCTCCTGCACGCCAATACTCTTTGTCTGCCATTTTTAGCAGTTTCAGTAAGTGTAGTAGCGCCTGGCGTCCAGAAAAAGTATGTCCGCACCCCTTCCTAAGATGGAAAGCAGCACCAAGTTCGTGCTGCGCACTGCGCCCGGTTTTCAGTTTTGGCCGTGGAACGCTGCTCGCCGAGGTGAGCGGAGCGCGCACGCCTCCTGCAGGCGCGTGTGGAGGCGGCAGGCCCCGTCCGCTCCCTGCCACCTGTTGGCGGGAAACTTGGCGTAGCGTAGCGCAGCGTGGCGGCGAGAAGTTGAGTTTGTCTGGAGCGCGAGGCGGGGCGGGACGCTACAACCTGTACTTCATCTGCAGACCTCCCTCCTCCTCCTCCTCCTCCTCCTCCTGCTCCTCCTTGCGCTTCCTCCTAAAGCGAGCCACTTGTACTCGCTCGCAACAAATTTAAAGGATTTCCTCCTCTCCCTCCTCGGAAGCACTTTTACTTCCGCTTGCGTAATTCATCCCGCCATTAAGTGCGGCCGCGCGCAGAAGCAACTCTACAAAAGACGTTTATATGCCACCTGGCTCCTGGGGAGTTTTGTTTCTCGTGTAATCTGACGTGTATGCGTAGTTGGTTGTGGGGGAAGTCCCACCCCGGAGGCCATAGCATAGACGCGCGCACCAAGCAGTAAAACACGCACTGTTTGCCTCCACGTGTAGCCGCCGCACCTTCCCGGCAAACGGTCCGGATCCGCCGCGCCCCGTCGGGTCGGACGGCGCAGCGCCCCGCCCGCGCCCTCTCCTTGCAGATACCAAGTTTTCTTACCTGCAAGTTATAACGACCCAAACTTGCCGCTCCTCGCGGCCCTGCTGTACCCCGTCCCGGAGCCAGCCCCCCTCCTCTCCCCCCTTTTCCTGTGCCCCGCGGCGCCCCCTCGGGCCCGGTGCAACGGTACGGTAGGTCGATGGCCGACCGGCTCGCGGCAGTCGGGGGCGGGGCGGAGGCGGGGATGGGGACGCGCCACAGACCCACAGCATCACTCCGACCCGGCACAGCCCCTCTCCAAGAGTTCGCTCCCTGCGCGCGCTTTCCGGACCGCAGACAGACAGGCGGACGGCGAGTTTCGAGTTTGTTTCCCGTCGAGACGAATTCGTGCACGGCGCACGACTCGTGTACCTCGCCCCTCTCCCGTTATGCCAAGGAAAAGGTATATGTGACTTCCAGTATAACACACGGCTGTAAGGGCGGGATCATCCAGAAAGCACGTCCGTCATTCGTCGTGACAAACCTGCCAGCAGGTTATGCAAGCTCTCATAGCGCCTGATAGATAGGCAACATTTTGCCTGAAGTGCATGCGCGTAGTGCGGGAAGGCCTACCCCTAGCCTAGCAGGCGCCGAGATCCCGTAATTTGACGAATGGATCTGAGAATAATCGGACGTACTCTCTGGACGATCCCTGACATAAACAGCGCCCCGAAAATGAAGATGAGCGAACAGGCCAGTTGCCAGTTCGAATTTATTCGAACTCAAACAAAACCAGCCCCAAAATAATCGAACCAAGCCGAACCTTAACGACAACATTTCCTTTCAAACGAACAAAACCATGGCGCTTATATTCTGCATCATTGCAACAGGGACGTCTATAATGGTTACATAAAAGGCTCGGTATATGGTCCGGCTGACAGGGGTGGTGGGGTTGGGGGCGGTGCACCGTGGGTTGCCTACATACAGGCTTTTTTTGTGACAGGTCCTTCAAGTATCCTTTTTACAACTGTCCAGTTTTCTGCGGGTGTAGTGTTACGAGACTGGCCGGCCTAGATCGCAGGTGGCGCTCGCTCCTCGGCCTCACATGCTCGGGGTGGGTCCCGGGTCCCCTATCTTCCTCCAGCCTCCCGGTTGTAATGGATCCCGGTGATGAGGCTCTGCGGCCCGGCCTCGCGAGGAGACGGTCCCCCCCGCCGGCCAGACGCGCGCTTTATCACGTCGACACGCGGGCCGGCCATCTGCGGCCCCTCCGAGCCGCCTCCCACTGCTGCAGGTTGTCCGGCGGGCGCCACATCGCCACTCGACACATACACAGGGCCCAGCAACATAACAGACCGTAAATTGCGTGCCAGCTGTGCTCAGCGCGCGGGGCCGCACCCCTCGTTGGCACCCCTGTCTTTTCCCCCCACCCTCCCACCCCTTATTTCTCTCTCCCTCTCTCTTCCCCTCTCTCTCTCCCTCCCTCCCTCTCTCCCTCCCTCTCTCCCTCCCTTCTCTCCCTCCCCCTCTCTCTAACTCCCTTCCTCCCTCCTTCCCTCCCTCCCTCTCTCTCTTTCCCGCCTTTACCATCCCTGCCTCTCGCCAGCGTCCTGTCAAGACTCCAGTCCCCGCTGCCCTCCGCATGATGCCCCGTCCAATCCACCCCGTCGTCGCCGCTGTCACCTGCCTCCTCCTCCTACCCCCTCCCCCACCCTCTCTCCTCTCCTCCTCTCCCCACGCTTGATGTATTTATGTGCAGCAGCGTGCACGCCGCCCGTGAGTGGCACTTGTCATGTCCGCCTTCGTGGCCGCTGGTGCGCTGCGGCCGCGTGCCACACTATGTCGCCATGTCGCCTCTCTACCTATTACTTTATGTGTTCGGCGACGGTGTCTATCTACCCATCTGTGCGTCAACACTGAAAAGGGCAAATGCTGCCCTAGCCACACCTTTAAAAATTTTAGTGTCGCACCCAGAAAAAGTGGTTCTTTAATTACGGCAAATAGTGCTTAAGAGGAATATGGTTATGGTAATGAAATTTTAACCCCTAATTGTACTGAATTCAAGCCCTGGTTGGGATTGATACAATACAAAAAAAGGGCAACTTTAAACGCGTCACAAAGGCATTAAACCTGCAAAAGGAAAGGCACTAATTCTTGTAACTACGCGAGCCTTTACGGTCTTTTCATGTTTTCTCATCGCTATGCCTTTAATCGGAGAGACTACGATGAAGGGTACTAAAATATTTAAAAAACAAAACAAATCATTCAAAAAAAATCAGAAGAAAAAAATCAGGAAAAATCAAGAAATTTCAGAAAAAAAAAATCAGGGAAGATCAACAAATTTTAGAAAAAAAAAAAAAGAAAAAAAAAATCAAGAAAAAAAAAACTTAAGGGTTTCTGGACCTTTCTGACCGTGTTCTTGTCTGTCTTGTCCTCAGGTCGGTCGCACGACGCGGCCTACACGCTGTTCCGCCTGGGGCAGCCCGCCGGCCCAGGGCTGCGCGCCATGGCCGAGACGGGACGGTCCGAGGTGCTGGAGGACGAGAACCAGGGCGCCGCCGGCGTGTTCGACGAGTTCACCGCGCCCCCCGTGCACTCCGGGGCCGGCTGGACGCAGGCCGAGTTCTTCGTCGACGGCAACCACTCCAGGGTGAGTCGCTGGGCAGGAGAAGGGTGGGGAAGGAGAGGCGATCCCCCTGGGGGATGGTTTTGGCACCCCCCGGTGTAGGGAAGGGAGGGGTGGGGGGATGAGGCGGGCTTAACTTTTTAATGCAAGTGTGGCCGAGGTGCCTGAGTCTGTTCTTATTACTTGAGTGGCACTTGAGCTAATTTGCCCCAGAACCGTGGAAATAGGGGGGGGGGGAGTGAGTGCGCGGAGAGCACCGGGGATCCCCGGCCGGTCGCCGCATGGCTTTGTCATGCAGATTCCCTGCACTTCTCTTGTTTTGTTTTTGACGACGCGAGAAGTCGCCCCTCTCTCGCACCCTCGCGGCGCGGGCGGGGGCGCGGCCCCCGCGCGTCCCCGTAATTGCATGGAAAGAGTTTCTCTCTCTCTCTCTCTCTCTCCTCATCGCTATATTATTGTTATATATTTTCATAAAAATAATAGAAGCAAAATGGGGGGAGACTAAGGACAGTCGAGGGGAGGGGGGAGGGGGCACCAGGGCCCGGCCGGCAGCATTCATAAAGCAACGCCGAGTACTTGCATACATAATTTATGGAGAGAGTGAGAGAAATGAAGAGAAATGGATAGAGAGAGAGAAATAGAGAGGAAGAGGGGAAGGAGAAAGAGAGAGACGGGCCCGCACCCGACCAACGAATAATCCCCAGTTGCGATTTTAATTACAGGCTGATTAATTATTGGCCGTCAATAGCTCATTATTCACGGGTCTGGCCGGGCCGGGCCGCCGAGAGGCTCATTTTCAGCCAAAGAATGGCCAGCCGCTTTCTCCCACGCCCGGCAGAAAACGGCCGTTTTTCCTCCGCTTTTCTTCTCCCGCTCCTTCTGTCTCGCTCTCACCCGCACCCCGACCGCGGCCGCACCCGCGCCATCCTTTTCTTGTCTCTCCTTCTCTCTGTCTCCCTCGCAGATTTTTTTCCCTATCCGGGGCACAATAACAACACACCCGATTTATTATGATTAAAAATGAAGCGGAGAAGACGGTTTGGCTGGGAGTGGCTGCCGGCTGCTCTGCTTCTTCTCCACCGAAAACTATATCGATAAATTTCTGCTTTCTTGGAGAGACACAAAACGAGGGGGAAATGGAGAGAGAAGTTGGCCTGCGCGCTCGCGCCGTCCCATCAGACGGAGTGGGTGAGAGGCGTCGCTGACAGGCGGCGTGCGCATCCTGACGTCTGGGCGGGGCGGGGCGGGAAGGGGCGGGCCATGAGTCATAACGCGAAGCAGATTCCATCTCGATGACGGTATTGAAGGATATCCGTGAAAAGTTTGGTGCGCGGGTCGGCTCCCGGGCAAGGAGTCAGGAAAAGAGAGGCAGGGAGAGAGAGAGAGGGAAAAGGGGGGGGGGGGTCTGCCTCGCTCGGTTTATCGCTCTCGACTGATGAAAGATGGAAATCTGGCGGAGCAGCAGACGCGAACAAATCGCGTCATGGAGCGGGCGCTCTTATCCATCTCTTGTAATGCTTTCGAAATTGGCTTTATTTCTGAGCCTCACGAGCGCGCCGAGCTCCCCTTTCTGGCCCCCCTGGCCGGGGCTCTTGGCCTACCTGCGTTCCGCCACTTCGTCACTCTCTCGCCCCGCCCTCGCGGCTTTGTCACTCTGCTTGGCCCCTCCGTTGCTTGACGCGATGTGCCCTTCCCTGCTGCAGGTGTCGCTGATGTCCCGGATCGTGCCGTCGCCGGACTGGTTCGTCGGCATCGACAGCTTTGACCTGTGCGTCGACGGAGGGTGGATCGACACCATCACCATCGAGGTTTGTACGGCGGGGTGTCATGTAGATTCACTCTCGATTGGCGTAGTTTTTGTTTTGTTTTATGTCTTCAAAAAAATTATGCCATAACGCTAAGAAAATGGTGGCCCTCCGCTCTGAAAACTCAAGAATGTACATTGATTGTATGCTGATAAATCAGCAATCATTGATGATTGCTGATATTTCTGTGGGCATGGCATGATTGCTGATATATCAGCAATAATCAATGATCACGTTTAGGTTTTTAGCTTATATTTGCTTTCAGGTGGACAACATTAGAAATTAGCATTAATAGATTCCTCGTGAAAAGAGCTTTCAAACGAGCTATTATGTGATAGGGTTCACTTTCGAAATGGCCCGCCTCTCGAAAATGTCGTTAATGTGAACCAAGTTTGTAACGGTCGATTTGAACCCTATCACATAGTAGCTCGTTTAAAAGCTCTTTTCACGAGGAATCTTTAAATGCTATCTAATTTCTAATGTTGTCCACCTGAAAGGAAATATCAGCTAAAAACCTAAACGTGATTTATCGCTGATATATCAGCAATCATGCCATGTACACTGATATATCAGCAATCATAAATGATTGCTGATTTATCGGCATACAATGTACACTTAAGTTTTCAGAAGCGCCCGCGCCAGGCCACAAAGCCGGCAGGAAAGGGGACCGCCTTTTCTCCTCTTGCCAGCGGCTGCTGCTGCTACGCAACACCGCTGCGCTCCAGACGGCTGGGTGCGGGCGCATCAGCTCTCCTTTGCTTTTCCCGCAGCCGCTACTTCGTTTGCCTTAGGCCCATGGGATATTTCTGTAGTAAGGGTAGTTCCAATAATAAAGCAAACGGAACATTTTCGTCCCAGGCCTGTTTGAATCATGTATTTGAATTTGATGAGCCCCGCGCAAAGGTGTGAGATATCGGGTAATGTGTACCAGGTGGCTGACTCACGTCGCCCACTTTCGTAGTTTTACTGTACCGCATGCACGCAGGTGAGCGGGTTGCGCACGGGGCCATAAGGAGCCGTTGGCAAATGAAATAGCCATAAATTGAAGTGCTACTCGAGCTTTGGAATAGTTCTTCCTTCTACTACCCAGCATGCGTATAGGTTTTCCGCTTTACCAACCATCATTCTGAACCTATACTGTCCGTAAGGTATGATCGGAAAATTTGGAAAAGTCCAGTTCAGTGGGGCATCATTGAACTCGTAAACTCCCTGAAAAAAAAATCATCAGATCTCACAGTTAAAATACTCTTGTGTTTGAAGTATGAAGCAGCAACAATTTTCACTGACTTTCCCAACTAAAGATATCAGTAAAATAAGTACATACGTTACGGTGTCACGAGATTAGACTTGAAGTCTAAGTACTCACAGGTTTAAACACGCACGCGCCTTTAACTTCTCTCTTCTTTAAAAGTAGCCCGTAAAATCCAGGACTATTTATTTTAAAATGTCGGCATGCCCCGTTGTTAAATTTAAAGACAAAGGCGTTTTCCTTCCACTGGTTGTTTGACCGAGTATCCGCAATTACTTTCAGCTGGAACCGGACGCAATCGATTCTTATTTCTGCATTTTGTGCGACGGTTGCTCTAAATGTGAAGCGCTCTTATTTCGTAATGAACTTGTCGTTTGACAACTTTAGGACGGACTTAACTTTCACTTTATAACAAATATGCTTTCAAACTACATTCTTTTTATCGTTGCGAAGAATTTTCGAATTTTGGAATTCAAACAATTATTTCGTATTGCAAAGGAATCCTTTGCACGCTGTCAGAATTTCTTCAAACTATTTGTACGCATTCCAAGCAGCAAAACCAGCAACTGCATCATATGACCTAAGTCATCTTGTCCCATCTAAAATGCGCCCACAATGCGCATTTTCGGTTGGAAACGCAAGTGTGTGAATGTCGTACACTTGTAGGTATCTGAATGCCCATATTCGTAGACTCAAGGAAGTATAGGTGTGAAGTTTCCTTTGAAATTCACACACTTGTGCCTCTATGTCTACGAATGTCGTTCACTGAAAAAAAAAAGAGATACCCTCGGCCAGCAAATATTTTTGCTGGTATTAGGACCGATAATCTAATAAGTTTATGGGATAACTGCATGAGCTATTCTAACTGATTTTGACTGCAGTAGTCGAATATTGACTCTGGAGCCAATAGTCCTACCATCTACATGTAGATGCATATTATCTTCCAGAGTCAATATTCGACTGCTACACGGAAAAAAGTAGTTTCCAAGCTATTGATTAGCTGTGATAGCTTATGTTGGCTATCCAGGCACTAATTAACTTTTCAGCTCTCACAGCTAAACATTTGCTGTGGTAGCCATGCATTAGTTGAGAAAGCTAATTACGTCATCCAAACCAGATCATGCAGGTTAAGCTGTTATTCAGAAGCATTAGTTCCCGCAGCTAATATTTGATTAGCACAGCAAAAGTTTAGCTTTAGCAGCTTAAAATTTAGCAAGTGTTTGGCCATCTAACATTCAGCTGGAGCAGCTGAGGATTTTTTTTCTGCAGAGGTCAATAAACCGTTAAAATAGCGCATATAGTTATTCCAGAAACTTGTTGGGTTATCTGTCTAAACACCAGCGAATGTATATTAACTGGCAGAGCGAATCTTTTTAATCCGTGATGTTTGAATGTCACCCATGTCTTACCCAGTCGCTGTTATCAAAACTTCCACTTGTAGCCGTCACATTGCCTGTGATTCGCTGCAACTCTTTTGGTTTAAGTGGGTTGAAGTGAGTGGCACGCAAATACCATCTCCAGGGAAGCGGCTGATTGTCGGATTCACACATGTAAAAGCGCTCCCCGTACGAGATGTAAGGGCCCTATTAGAAACAGAAAAGGGAAACCTGCTTGCCGTTAGTAAAACCGTCGGCATCATAGGCCGCATTTGAAATTCGCATTCAGAAAAGGTATAGCCATACTATCACAGAGTTGATAACTTTGCCGTGGATGCCCGCTGGGCACATGAGTGCTAGAACTACGAGCACGAGTGTGCTTGCCATGATTCCCCGGATACTGTTTGAGCAGAATCAGTGATAAGTGGATGCGAGCTCAGTGAGAGCAATTGCTGCGGCCATGCGAGACCCACTGGTGACTAGCTGGCGTGCTGGCGTGCGAACACAACAATGTAGGGCAGAAAGCAGGTGATCAGTGGCGGGATAAAACGCTACAATTCGCGGCACAAAAGGTTTCCAACGGTATTTCCGGTGTTGGTCTAGATACGTACGTCACAGATACAACACCTTTAACCCAGAAAACGCCATTCAGTCTTGATTTTATAATAATATACTAATGATTAGGTGGATTGCTTCCTTTAATACGAACCGAGTATGTATACTATTCTTTGTAATACACTATTGTATTAAATTAGAATGTTACATACTAAAGTTAAGTATGTTCGGTTAGTATGTGACATATTAATATTTAGTGTGTAAGACCCCTAATCTAAGAAAAAAAGAATACCGACTCGGCCAGGGTCATCAGATAATGAGACGTAATAACGTGGATTTTAAAAGAGAAAACGATTTTTTTATTGGATTCCGTGTGTGTTCTTTACCGGAGTAAAGCGAAATGGATCAGCGACCCACCTCATCTCAGGTAATAAAATGATGCAGCGCGTAGAACACTACACAATCATAGGTAGAAAACGTTGCCGCACAAAACTAAGGAGAGTTGGCGGGGACCCTGCGTCTGTCTTATAGAGCTTACAAAGTAAAATTAAATTTTAGTTTCATTTCAAAATTTTAGTTTAATGCAAAAAATAGTGTTTGTAAGAGACGCCATCTTGCGGCACACGCAAAAAAGCCTGTTCGCTGAAATAGCAAACTTCAGGTCCTTGCGTTTTGCTGTTGCAGCAAACACATTTTTGTTTTCGCTGTTTCAGCAAAATGTTTTGCTGTTTTAGCAAACTGTTTGCTGAAACAGCAAAACCTTTTGCTAAAACAGTGAAAACAAAAATATGTTTGCTGCAACAGCAAAACGCAACTACCTGAAGTTTGCTATTTTGGAAAACAGGCTTTTTTGCGTGCAGTTCCTAGTGGCCCACAAGCCCACAATGATTTGTGAACGATAACAAAAAAGTCGCATTTCCTATTTTTTCAATCTGCATCGAAGGTTACAACATTTTGTTTCAAAATTGATCGGAATTGGTACTAGAACTTGTACACATTTATAAAATACGGTCATCCAGAGCCGAGCCGACAATTGTCAAAATGACGTCAAAATGGTAGCGAGATTGAGCCGAGGATTGAGTCCATTTTGACCTCTATTAAGGGTCATTGCATTGACGAGTTTTTGACGATTGTGTACCATCGGGTTGGGTTCGTCCGGCTGCCAGGCTAACTCGTGGGCTTTGGGCCACCCGTGCGCGATGACGTATGAAAGGAGTCAGGTGTAAAGCTGAAGCTGGCAATATCAGATTCGTTCCAAGAGTCAATATGCAGTTGGTTGCGTCTTTTACACTGAAATGTTCGCTGCCTCGACTAAGTAGTTTGCTGAGTTAGCGAAGAATGTTCGCTATGCCTATACTAGCATACATATTAGCTCTGACAGCTTCTTATGCTAGGCGTAGGCGCCTACATGCGACATGCGCATGCGACAGCCAATGTTTTTTTCCCGTGATAATTTCGCATTTTTGATGGTTTGTGAGCTTTGCGGGTACACGGAAAAAAAACCTCAGCTGCCCTAGCTAAATGTTAGCTGTCCAGGGACTAGCTAAATTTTAATCTGTTAGAGCTTATTTTTTGCTGTGGTAGTCAAATATTAGCTGCAGGAACTAATGCTTCCGTATAACAGCTTACCCTGCATGATCTGGTTTGGATGACGCAATTAGCTCTCTCAACTAATGCGCTGCTACCGCAGCAAATGTTTAGCTGTCAGAGCTTAAAAGGTTAATTAGTGCCTGGGCAGCCAACATATAATCTACCACAGCTAATCAATAGCTTGTGGAACTTATGTTTTCTTGTGTAGAAATGATTTTAGACCGTTCTCAGGTTTGTTTTCTAACCAGTTTGCCGTCAAAATTCCCTAAAAATATGAGGCAGAAAAAGCGCACCGGGTAGTGCTCTCCCGAATCAACCGGGGACTTCACGGAAAAATGTTTCCTGTGATACCTTAAGCCACTGTAGGGCACGGTAGGGGGTACTTCACTCAAAAAATCAGTTTGCTTCCCTTAAAACAATTCAGAAATAAGGTTCAATTACAGATAAAAAAAAAGTCAAGTTCGTTGTTTAAACGCCACAAAACGTTTGCCTTTTATCTCTTGCCTAGGTGGACCCGCTGGACGCGGGCACGGACAACGGCTTCACCTTTACGGCGCCCAACTGGCCGACGGAACCGCAGGGGGTGGTGTACCGCATCACCAGCACGCACCCGCAGCACCCCGCCGGCTCCTTCTACTACCCGTTCCTCAAGCGGCTGCCGGCCATCGCCACCTTCCAGTTTATCAAGGTGAGCCAACTATATCGGTCGATATTTTTAAACGGACTCGTTCCTGCCAGACAGGAGGAGGAGCGTCATGGTTCAACACACCTGTTGAGCAGCTCCACACCCACGCCCGGCTACTGAGCATCAATAGGCACCTTGCTCTCTGAGTAGTAGTCTAGCCGTGGGGTGCTGCCCAGCGCCCACGCCAAAAATTGTGTTCAAATATAAAAGTAATGATCAATAGGCTAATGCACAAAAATATCACGCAAAAAGACGCATTAACAAACATTCGATACAACAAGGGCGGCAAAATTTTCTTAACCGTGAGTCCGTTTTGCAGTTAACAAGAATTATTTTTTTTAATCCGTGAGGTTGCCCGTGGCGTGTATTCGTTGGACTGTCTCACAAAATGCCGTACTCCCTGCACTGTGCTAAAACCTGCTTTGGAATTGCGAACCAGGAACGATTTTCCTTTCGTCATTCGAAGTAAATCCTTCGCAATCGTGAGTGCTATTCACTCTCGTTCGGATGCGCATTTTTGTCGTACACACTACTTTAGAGCGTTTTATTTGTAGAACTTACCAGAAAGAGAGCGGGCACAAAGACGAGATGGCGGCAACCAACTCCCATGCGGCGGGCGCCTGCAGACTCGAGGGTAGGCAACCGGCTGCGCGCCCGTGCTCGCGTTGCCTATGCTGACCCTGCAGGTCCAACTCAATAAGACCCCGCCGGCCCAGCCCCTCTCCTCCCTCACTGACCCCTGCACGGAGCTGGATGTTGTCGGACGCGGGCTCTACCTCTCGATCCTGACCCGACCCCCCCCCTCCCCCTTCTCCCCAAAGCCTCCACCCCGCACTCGGCGCACTCCTTCACGGTGATAGGTTACCCAACCATGAAATAACCATTCACATAAATCTCATTCCGACGCACAAAGACTGGCTGCCGTCACCCCCTTCCCTCCCCTCCTCCCCCAACCCCCTCCCCCTCCTCCAACGCCCTCCGCCCTACATGCTACGCCACGCACCGCCACGCCCCCGAGAAGGGTGCGCGCACCGCACGGGGGGGTATTTTTGGGTTGGATGCACTGCCGCGCGAGTTTGTTTGGATTTAGCTTTTTTTTTTCTTTAAAAAAAAAGGGTGTATAGGTCGCTATAAAAGGAGTAAAAGTGAAGAAAAAGGAGCGTGCAGTCCGCGGGATGTGCATAAAAAACGCGTCGCTTACACGGGCGAGTTGATCGCGACATTGGTGGAAGGGAGGGAGGGGGGGGGGGGCGCTGACCGTGTGTGTGGCCCTTTTTATTATATTCCATCGCCTCTGAGCGGGGACCCCGCGCCCCTCCGTATTTTATTTTTTTTCGCTCGCAGTGTACCCTCTCGGGAGAGGCGAGAGCCCCTCGCGCCTTATCTGTTTTCCTCTCAGTGTTTGTCTCTATTTACGACCGCGTCTTAAAAAGTCCCGCGCCTAGCATCGTCACGGCGCGGCGCCCTCTCCTTGATTTATCGCTCATCGAGAGAGGGCGAGAAAGAGACGGAGCGAGTAAGACAGAAAGAGGGGGGAGGAGCGAGACGAACAGAGAGAGAGAGAGAGACAGGATCCTTCGCCTGATTTTTTTTATCGTTCGACATTCCCTTGCTTCTGCTCCGCCCGCCCCGGCCTTGGTTGGTGCGGGCCCGGCTCGGTTCCCTTCGCCCATGACTGCCGCCCTGCCACCGCGCGATCCCCATGACTCCCCATGGCCGAACATTTCTCCCCATGGCCGCCCCCATGGCCGCCCCCATGGCCGCCCCCCTTGGATGGCGGGGCTTGGTTTGGCTTAGCGGACGCCGCGGTGGCGCGCAGAGCTTAGGGTCTCTTGATTTATGGGTGTGAAGGAGTCTGGGCAGCGGGCCTGGCCGGTCCGGTCCGGCCGGGCGCAGCGGAGGGAACGGCCGGCTGGCCGGCGGGGCGAGGGTTCAAACACCGCCCGGCTCGGCGCAGCGGTCGTGGGAGGAGAAAAAAAAATTGCCTACTCTTTCCTGGGGCGCCGGCATGGGCACTGCGGGAACCAAAAGGGGTCTGTAAACCTTACCGAGTCAGATGTGTAGATACGGTCGCGCTCGCCCCACCACCCCGACCCGGCGGCCTCCCCCTGTGGGGTCGGGGAGCCCGTTAGGGGCGTCCCGGGGGCCACCCGTGGCCCTCCTGGAATGCCTTCACCCCTCACGCCCAAATTACGCCCGTCTTTCAGCCCGCCCCGCCTCGCCCAGCCTCGCCCGGCCTCGCCCCCCGCCTCGCGCACTTTTCCTCCAACCCAGCATTGTGAATTGCAGAATCGGAGCTTCGCGAAGCAGCGCGGTAACATCACGGCTTAGCGGGACGGGCGTGATGCCCTGGAGGCGCCCGGAGAAGGCGGCCCTGGAGGCGGCCTGTTGTAGTGGGAACGAGATTTGTGCCGCGCCTCCTGCCTGCTCCCCGCGCGCGCCTCGCCTCTATTCTACTCCTGGCGCCGCCCGCCTCATCTGCCCTGCCGCAGCCGCCGCTCACCTCCGCTCTTTTCATCCCCTTCCCCTCCTCCCTCCCTCCCTCCCTCCCTCCCTCCCTCCTCCCGCCACTCCCCCGCCGCCATCCGTCTCACGTATCGTTTTGTCCGCGGGCCGCACGGAGGAGCCGCGCGTGGCTGCGGCAGCCTCCTCTGCCTCTTGGAGAGAGGTGGATTTATGCCCTGCGGTTGGCGGCGGCGGCGGCGCTGCTGCTGCAAGACACGGGCACGTCGGGGGCAGCTCCAGCCTCCAGTCCTCCCGCGCCGCCCCCCATTGTTGCCAACTGGATATCAATTACCCCGTCTTGATTGCCGGCCCGCTAGCGGCACATCCCCTACAGAGGGGTTGGTACGACTGCCGTAGGAGAGCACGCTGCGGGGTGTGCGGGTGCGGCATTTAAGAAACGTTGTCACCGGCCATGAGGACGGATGGTGCACGGGAGGCGGGGGGGG